GGGCCATCGAACCCGACCTGGATGCAAGGTAGAACGACGGCCACGTCAACAACCGAGGTCGAGTCATTTCGAGACCGTTGCAGAGCTCGATATGAGTCACCACCGGATGGAGAAACACACAAGGTCGGAAGCCGGACTCGTAACGGATAACCAAGCGTCGCCGGATATCTCGCCCAAACGTGATTTTCTCAACCACTTCAGGCCATTAAGGCGTAATTACAGGGATCCACGATGTAATTAATTTACCTACCTTATTTTTACCCTTAATCAGAATGTATAAAAGGGGAGAAGACCCCATAAAGAGGGGATCGGAAACCATTACACTACGGTACCATCTCTCTCAATTCTTGTACGCTATCAAGCACAATTGTTCTAAGCAATATCATATTCTGCGATTATTTACTTTAGCAGCAATTGTTGAGTCTTTATCTTTTATTTTCCTCAATCCAAACCTTTTGTATCTTTTAGTTCACGGATCCTTAAAACCCCATATAAATTCAATTGTTATCCGGATTCCAGGGTAAACAAGGTGTTTTCCATTTGTGTTGTGTTTTTATTATCACTATTTGTTATCTTGGCCTTATTTGAATATAAGAACTCGATTACTGCTGTTCTCTAAACTTTAGTATAATACATGTAAGCAAATATAAGCATCGAACCAACAACTGCATAATTATTTGGATGTTTTGCAGGATGGAAACCTTCTTGTTAGTATTGCTAGCAATGTTGACAACAATTATTGCTCAAAAAGACTGCTTGTCAACATCACCATAGTTCACAGCGCCACTGCTCAAGGCGCAGGTAAAATACTTCATTGCACAGAGTAATTAAAAGAGAATCGTAACATGCAGTCTTGTATGAGTACTAAGTATTTATTTGTTTATGAGTCATCAAACAGTGTGCCTCGACGGAAGCCCGCCAGCATATCATCTTGATAGAGGACATGGTAGCGGACTTCGCAGCTGGATTATCGAATTGGAAGTTAGTTACTTACTACTTTTCATCTTCACTATAACTAAGTCACCACATTATTCTGCTTTGCTAACGCTAGAAAATTTTCATATTTATAGCCAGGCGGTTGGTGCAGCAGTATCCCAGATTGCCTTGATCGTTCAGCTAAGTTCTTAGGTTCTTCCCTGCATATGGATAATGTATCTCGGTTTGCTGGGATACTTTATAATAGTTCCAAAGATAATCCAGGTGAAGAAGGCTCATGTATATTTCAGTTCATATACACTATTATCTTGCTTTATTAAAATTTACCCACTTCTTCTAACTGCGAGCAAAATTGGAATTGGTAGAGTTTTACAACTGGAACAGGGTGAAGGTGAATTATTGTGATGGTTCATCCTTCACTAGTGATGTTGAACAAGTTGACCCTGTAAGTAATAGGATTACTATATATCTCTCACTAAAATTGATAATTAAGTTACATTTTTCTGATTGAAATTGCCAAATCTACATTAGGGCAACAAGCTGTATTTTAGAGGGGCAAGAATATATAAAGCTATCATAGAAGATTTATGGAGCAAAGGCCTTCAAAATGCTGAAAATGTAAGAATATCCTACTGAATTACTCTCTGGCCTGGCTTCATATATATTCATCATTACAAGCCACACACTACCTTATTATGCGTTTCTCTTTTTTATTCTTATTTCCTAACTTTCTAATCTTAAAAAAAATGGTATGTTAGGCACTTCTGAGCGGCGTTTCAGCAGGAGGGTTGGCTACAATCCTAAACTGCGACAAGTTCAGGGCCCTCTTGCCGAAGTATGTTAGAGTTAAGTGTGTCGCAGATGCAGGCTTCTTCATTAACGGGTGAGGTTATCTTTCTATCCATTAAGTGATCTAATCACTCAAGAAAATGATGTCTTTTGATTTAATTTATTTGTATCTATGTCATTGCAACTCAAGCGTTTCATGATTTATATATGCAGGAAGACTATTTCTGGTACATCAGATATTCATGAGATGTATCAGAGAGTTGTTACATTACATGTTAGTTCGATCAACTTTTTTTGTTAGTACAGTTGTATAATATATGCTTAACAACTAGATGCAAGTTAGATTCCTTTTCAATAATATTTTTTTCTCTCGTATAAGGGATCCGCTAAGAATTTGCCACCATCTTGCACGTCGGCAATGGAACCAAGTCTGGTAATTTAGAGTTTAAGTTTTTCGAAACAAAAACTTTTTTTCTTATGCTATATAAATATTGCTCTCTAACACTTGTTTTCTTTAATAATGGTGCAGTGTTTTTTTTCTCAGAACGTTGTTCCATATGTTTAGACTCCACTTTTTATAATAAATTTACGCTATGACGCTTGGCAGGTCAAGAGGACAAATGCTAATTTCTTTTATTCTAAGAATTTTTTTCGTTTTTATTTTTTTTTATTTTACATTTCTATAAAATCCAAAAGAGATTCATTAAGATGACCCAACACTCTAACTCCAGATTAACAATACTTTGGTTCCTGAATACCTCGATCCTCAACATGTTTGGGACGATTGCAAGAAACATACAAGTAACTGCACATTTGGCCAGCGTTCAATTATTCAAGGTTAGTACTTCTCTGGTAATTAACTAATGCATACCTTGAAATCACATAAGTATAAATGTCACTTTTCCTCCCCTTACTCTTTTTTGTTTCTTTATTTTTTTTAAAAGTTTTTGCAGTGGAGTTCTTAAAGGCATTCTTGGGGCTCACCCCTTCTTTCACGAGGGGTTATTTCATCACGTCTTGCTATTCTCACGGTGTAATTCATTTGACACATTTATGGTATAGTCCTACCTCTCCAAGATTACTTCTTAAGGTATTTATCCTTTTATTTTCTTTGTATAAAGTTTAAATTTTATCATGCGCCTGTCATTGCCAAATTTTATTAGTTATAATAAGTAAAACATTGTGTTGCAACATTTATCTGTGCAGGCAATTGCTGAAGCTGTTGCGGATTGGTACTTTGATAGAGCAGGGTTCCAATCCATAGACCCATACCCTTGCGCTAGAGATTGCTAGCTTAAATTGAGTTAGCGAGCTTCTGTAACGAATAGGCTTGCAGATGTTGTACCGGCCGCCTATTTGGTGATACATAGCTGACGGTTGGAGTAAAGAAAATTTGTATGTTTTACAGTTAAGTCCTAGTATTGGATTTTTATTATTCTAATTGCTTAGCTTAATTTAAGTTTTAATGTACTTCAATTTAGTCTAGTCGAGTAAGTTAGAGATTGTGGAATCCAATGTTGTCTTTTCTGCTACTGTGAATGAAATATTCTTATCCTCCTCTCTCAACTCTCTCTTTTTCTCCTCTTTCTTCTCTCTTGTGGTTGGACAAATCATTCACTAATTCTTTTGGCCTCTCTTTATTGTTGTGTATTTACTTTCAATAAGGTTTTAGAAGAGACATTTGATGACGTATTCCTATTACACGTCAATATCAACATTGGACTGGGACTGATGGATGACATATTTGTGTATTTATTTCAATGAGGAGCGGAAATGGAAAAGGAGAAAGTAAAGTACTCCTCTTATGTAACGGTGCTAGATTGTGGGGAGTGGGGACTAACTGATAGATGATATAGTTGTGAAGAATTGCACTTCCTTTCCATATCGCTGCATTGGCCTCTAGTAGTTGATTTTAGTACTTAGAATTTTCTTATGATTTATAATTCTGTTTTGTAGTTTTCCATTCTAAAGGGGCTAATTCAAAATATTTGTTTAGAAAATCAAGATAGTTCTGCAATTCCAATACCAGATTTAGTGCATATTCTATTTTCACCCATACGCTCGAATTATGACACGATCCTAAATTCACAAGTCGCAGTTACACTTAAACCAACCCGCTAGGTTAGCCAACAGTCACATGATAAACAATGTAAATGAAATAACATGGTCTAATAGCTGAACAGTGGAATATATGTATAAATAAAATTTTATTTATGATAAATGTCTATATTTAGAGAGATTCTAGGGTTTATTACTTGGTGGCTAAGTCACCCTCTCCCTATAAATAGAGGGTTCCATTCCATTGTAATTCATCCCAAATCAATAAGAATTCTCTCCCTCTACTTTTCTCTGCAATACTCTTCTTCTTCTTCTTTTATTGTTTTATAACACGTTATCAGCACGAGACATTGAGTAGAAGCTTTGGGATTGAGCATAATGATTGTCAATTATTCCATGAACTTCCTTCATGATTAAATTCTGGATTTAAGGTAAGTATTTTACCGTATTTTTCTCTTTTATTCTATACTTTGATTTTAAATAAAGCAAAGACAACAAAGTTTGATTACAACTCTAATGGAGTTTGCAAGAAATTATAACCACCTGAAGTGGTAAAATTTCTATGCCTCGCCATGATCTAATTCATGTATGATTGTGGGCAAAGAATTGAAAACTCGTGCCATTGAATTTGCTCCATTCTCATTCCTTTAAGAGAATGTGATAGCAGTATGTGATAAGTCTCAAAGAAGACAAAATTATTACTATGAATATATCAATGGATATGGACTTGGCAATAGACGAAATTATAATCGTTATCATTTGTGGTAATGAGAACAATAAGGATTCTCAAAATAATCTTTAACTCTGTGAAAAATATTTGTCATCGATTTGACATGAGATTTTGTAAAGCACATATAGATGATTATGGTCCATTCATGATATGAATGTGACAACATCTGATTTATGAATACATATTCATTCTTCAAAGAATATGAACTTGCTAGTGGTAGTGAATATACCGCACTCACCTCTAAAAGGAGGTTTGAGATGATATAAGAAAATAATGTCATTATTATGGCATGAATGGTCATTGGTCACGTACCTATTGTACGCCAAAATATTTTGGCATTGTGATTGTTAAAAGACAACGATAATGCAAGAAACAGATCTTGCATATAATTTTGACCATAACCATAATGGTATAACTTTCTCTTTAAAAGAGATATTCACCATATGGTTGTTGATGAATATGTGGTACTACAAAATTAATTGAGAACTCTGCAAGAGCCAATTATACTATTTTGGAGAAACACAATTAATTACCAATAAGGTATTGTGTTGTAGTAAGTCTCAAAGAAACTTATTCAGTTTCCAAAGTATATGCGAAAGCGGTTGATTATATTGAGACTATAAATAAAGGAAAGATTTAATATCTTCTATTACTACAACTGCTAGCGGGGTAATATGTATGTGAAAAGCTACCCGCTTTATTCTCCAATTTGTACTACATAAACAAAAGAATACCACAATGAACTGGATATTTATTGATATAAAAACCCATATCATAGTAAACTTGGAGTTTATTAATAATTGCACACATCATGGTGTAAACCTGAAGTTTATCAATATTGATAATTTATCCAGTTGGCATAATTGGTTTAGCCATGTTAATTCAAGTATGATGTGCAAAAATAAAAGAGAATTCACATGGGTAAATATTAAAGAACTAGAAAGTTCTTTACGAATTCTCTTATATTGCTTGTTCTCATTAATTAATAGACCAATTAAATTGGGATTGAATCCCATGAATGCTGGAAATATCAAAGGTGAATATGGGCCCATTCACCTGCCATGTATACCACATAAGATGCATCTATGAGATGGTTACATGTGCAATTATTATTAACCCGCAACCTGGCCGGTGTGTGCGAGGTAACTTGCTCAATAATTTAATTTCGAGCATAATTTCCAGATTTTCTATTCAAGATAGTTTATCTTGATAAGTAGGTTTACATCACAGTTGGTTTAGCAAAATAATTTATTGAGTGCCTCAACTTAATAGCTAAACTATTGCTTATGAGAACAAAGTTATATATATCAGTTTGATATTCGTTATATACGAAAGTATATTATATTCTCCCCTCACAAGTGGTTTCAGGGTCAGGAACCAAATAATTCCATCTCATTATTATTGATGTGCGGTTTATATTTTGATTAACACCATAACACACAAAGATGGATTCTCAAAGTTGAGGAAACAAGTTAGTTTTTCTAACATGAGGGGGAGACAAGATACAACAATTGAGAAAAAGTTACATGGAATAAATTATCATTTATACATCTAGATCCCTGAATAAAATAATATGAACTTGAAGTTCATAAAAGGATAATTCATGTGCAATTTATTGCATAGCATGCCAGACGCATTTGCTGACCCAAAGAAAGTAACTATATTCTCATTGCAAATGCTCCTATTAGAATAAGTCCTAGAAGGACAATGTAACGAACCGACCGGTCGTTTTGAGCTTTTGCACTTTGATCACCAGTTCCCGGGCATGACTTGCCCCGTGTAATGTATTATGACTGATGTAGATCGTCGGTTTTGGTTTTCAGGAGAATCGGGATGAATTGAAGGAACAGTCTCAGTTGAGCTTCGAATTTGAAAGGTTTGACCAAGGGTTGACTTATTTGTATATGAGCTCGGATCGGAGTTTCTATGATTTGGTTAGCTTCGTTAGATGATTTGTGACTTAGGAGCGTGATCGGAATTGGTTTTGGAGGTCCGGTGTAGAATTAGGCTAGAATTGGCGAAGTTAGTATTTTGTCGATTTCCGATTGATAGGTGAGATTTTGATCCGAGGGTCGGAATGGAATTCCGAGAGTTGCAGTAGCTTCTTTAGGTGATTTGGGATGTGTGTGCAAAATTTCAGGTCATTCGGACGTGGTTTGGTTGGGTTTTTGATCAAAAACGGAATTTGGAAGTTCTTGAAATTCTTAGGCTTGAATCCGATGCAAATTTGGTGTTTTAATATTTTTTTGAGCGTTCCGAAGGTTGGAAAAAGTTTGAATAATGTTATGGGATATGTTGGCGTGTTTGGTTGAGGTCCCGAGGGCCTCGGGTGTATTTCGGGGTGGTTTCGGATCATTTCGGGTTGTTTTGCAATAGCTGAAGCTGGTATCTGGTATTGTTCTTCGCGTCCGCGAGGGTCCCCTCGCGTTCGCGAAGAAGGATTTGGATTCTGGCTCGCGAAGAGAGACACGCGTTCGCGACAAAGAAGAAATTCTGTTGCGCGGGTCTTACTTCGGAGGATCGTATCTCTCTATCTACAATGAATTTTAAGATGATTCAAAAACGAAAGTTGTAGCTCTTTGAATCTAGTTTCCAGAAACATATTATAATAGTTATTTGGACATCTGCAGCAAAAGTTATTGCCATTATACTAGAGGCTGTCCGAGAAGAGTTTGAAAAATGAGTTTTGGAAATTTTGTTCTTCGCGAACGCGAGAGGAGGACCGCGAACGCAAAGAACAAATCCCTGGGCAGTAGATAAAGTCCAAAATCGTCTCACTCTTCCAGTTTTGGACCAAGGGAGCTCGGGTGAGGCAATTTTTCGAGAGATTTTCAAGAAAAACATCGGGGTAAGTGTTCTTAACTCAATTTTGGTTAGATTACCCGAATCCATTATTATTTTTAACATGTAATTAGTGATTTTAAGTTGGAAAAGTTTGAAAACCCTCTTGGATATATTTGAGGATTTTAGGGTCGAAATGTTATCGGAAATTAGTACTTTTGGTATGTATAAACTCGTGAGGAGATAAGGAACCCGTTGATGTAAAAATTTCTGAGTTTCGAGAAGTGGGCCCGGGGCTCGGGTTCTGCCAATTTCGAGATTTTTAATAATTTTCGATTGTTTTCGATTGGGTATTGTCCCATTGGCATATTGTGACGTATTCATTCTGGTTTTGGATAGATTCGACGCGCGTAGAGGCCGGTTTGAGGGGCAAAGGCATCGCGAGCTAGAGATTTCGCCGGTTCGAGGTGAGTAATGATTGTAAATGATATCCTGGGGATTTGAAACCCCGGATTGCACACCGTAGTGCTATATTGAGGTGACTTGCACGCCGGATATCGAGCGTGGGGTAGAGCACCGTTGGGGGATTATGACTTGGTCTGTCCCGATTGATGATTTTATCGCGTATTTGACTGAAACTTATTTGTTATTATCATGATTTGGGCTGATTGCCATATTTGGGCTTCGTACCAATTATCTGAACCCTTCGGGGATTTTTATCACTGTTTCCTCACTATTTTGATATACTACTTGAACTCAGTCCTGTTGATTATACTGTTTTACAAACTCAGCCGCTTTAATTGAACTTTGAGACTTAAATGATATTTCCACTGTTGTTTGGGCTGAGCACTACTATTTTATTGATGCCCAAGGGGCTTATGATGTTTTCTGGACTGAGTGAGGCCGAGGGCCATATGTGAGGATATGTTGAGTGATGTGAGGAGGCTTCCAAGCCTTGTGAGTGATGTGAGGAGGCTTTCAGGCCTCGTGAGTGATG